TTTCAGAGGAAATGGTGCCATCTACAGCCAAAATAGTAACCTCTCTTCCTATGCCTTTCAGTTATCATCTTTGTAAGAGGGACCACACCATCTCTGGCCTACCCTGAGGATCCATTTTGCTAAATACAGGAAGTGAAATCCTGAGTACATGAAGTGTAAGGCAAAATTCACATTAATTTCACATCCAACATTTTCATTCTGCCAGAGGTTTTGTTTCATTAATCATTTAAAGCAACAGATGCACACAAAACTAGACGGCGCTTATCCAAACCAGAAAAATTTCTTACCCGTGAGCGTAACAAACAGTGCATTTCCACAGGTGGGGATTCAGGCAGACACGGCAGTCAGAGCACACTCGATGACTGCATCCGTTGCATACAGCACCTCTATTCATCAGTAACCCAAGGGATTTGTGACAGCGAGCGCAAGATCTCTCCTGATATTCATGGCTCACATTTCTTGCCCCTTTCCACCGAAGCTGCTGCAGCTGCATCTTCAGTTTCCTAATTTCAGGTCAAAAAAAAACAAACAAAAAACCTCATGCAAGTCACAAGCTAATACCCTGGTTGTGCAATATCACTACTAGTGGCAGATACACCTTCAAGTTTGACCTTAATTTGCGCACGGCCTCAGGCATCTGCACACAGCATTTTTTTGCACCGTGTTTGTACGTGCAACCACAACAGTGCATGCAGATAGAGTAACAGTCTAGTATAAATGGGATTCTTTTCATGTCAGTTATGCACACCTGGGAAAGGGCACCGAAATACTGCATGCGAGTGTGATCATGTATTCACAAAGACTGAGACTTAACTGTGCTCCCTTTCATCTGAGGCAGATATTTATTACCATATTCAATCACAAATCAAATTTTCTATCAGTTAAAAACAATCATAACAGATGCATAAACTGAAAGTAAAAAAAAAAAAATCACATCAGACCAAAAATATCTAAACTTCTCCCTTTTGTTAACCTTGCTTCCGTTAAAAATACCAAGAATCAAGAGCTACGGTTTTTAATCATTAGCTACGTCATAAACTGCTGGCAATTCTGACTGAAACTTTCCTTACAAACCTCTACTTACTGTCTCCGGTCATTTAAGCAATTCAGTTACACTTACACAAATGCTTGCAGTAAACAAAGTTTAAGTTTCTACATTTAAGTAAGACACTAAAAATTTCTAACTTAGCAACCCAAATATCGTGTTGTACATCAGGATACAACCTGACAAAGTAGGGTACAAGCTACCAGGAAGTCCTTGCCTAAGCCCTTCTATAAAGCAAATGAAATGCTATTTCCTAACTAATGACAGCTATTGACGCTAGTAACAACCTCCAAGAAATTGCAGTGCAACTTGGTATCTGTTGTATGTGAGAAGGGACAGCGATGGATTCGGCATAACGATGAGGTACCCAAAGAGTCTTAACTTCAGTCTCAAGAACAAGTAAGTTAAACAAACCAGCCAAAGATTTCAACATGTTCTGTATTATCAGGTCAATACAGGTGTATGCAGGGACACAATGAGAATGTCATAAAACCTTCATTGAGGAAGAAATACAGGCAGAAACTGAATTTTCTACGAATACCAGAAGTAAAACCCATCGAGTAGATTATTCACGGAATCATATTTGCTCAGCTTTAATGTAGAGTAGTCAATAGTATGGTAAATCCAAGGCAGTTCAGATAACCCTTAGTTTTTCCCGAAAATAAAAAGACATTAGCTAACAACAAACAAAAGAAGGAATATATTTTGAAAGAGAGTAAAGAGATAGGAGAGTACTCCTAGAGAAAAAAAAAGAATAAAAGTAGCAGAATAGGGGAATGGCAGGTACCTTACTCTTTCCTCCTCTGTTTTTCTCACCATCTGGTCACGGTACAGGACCTCCAGAACAGCCTCTCGCTCCAATTCCTTAAGGAAGTTTAGGTTCAATTCACAGGCCATTTTTCCCAAAATTTACTTATTTTGGAGACTCCTGAATTACCATTCAGCTACATCTAAAATGATGAATACTATTTCACAGAGCATAATGTCGCTTTCAAGAGATCTGCGTGTTTGTCAAGTGCCTTGTGCCCTTACTTCACTGGTGATACGTCTCACTGTGTGATACCCATGAAGACAAAAACGAAGGTGTCGATCTTCCCACAAGTCACCGTGTAAGTATCTCTCAACCCTGGGAATATGAACAGTTCACAAGGTCACAGCAAGCTTGTCTTTTCATACAAAAGTACTTCTTGTTCTTTTTTTCTGCTGAGAGCAGTTCTGAAAGATGAGAGCTTGCAGTCTTAGAGAGGGCTGTACCTGTCACGTTCTTGAGGGTGAATACATCAAGAAATGGCCTAAAGGACTGGGGGGAATGACTTGTTTTACTTGGTCTTGTAGATTTGGAATTTCGGAATCTAGAAAGAAAAAAATATATATATATGTTATCATCCCTCCTCCTCATTTCTCCAAGACTTTTCAATTAGTATTTGAGCAATGCTTTCTGACAAACGCATTTGGCTCTACTCAGATAGACCTTTATGCACTAACTGAGATACAGCAGAGGTTTTAAGACAGCGGTTTTAAGAGTTTTCTTCAGACAGTCTCACCACAACATCCATTAACACTCAGCCATGTATCTTCATGTTTTTTTTTTTTTTAAACAAAAAACGACCAGTAAGGAAGCTTTAGTTAGGTTCAACCACTAGCCTGGAGGCCCCAGGACCGGAAGAGTCATAATGGTTGGGACAAAAGTAACCCTTTCTAATCTCATCTTACAGAGGGACAACATACCACAAGACTAAGAGGGAAGATGGAAGGAAACCCTGTGAGATTCACTTCTATCAATTACCTACATTCTGTTAAGTCTAGATAAACAGTTTATCACAAAGCAATGAGATTATCTTTGCTAATACACACAAACAGAAAAGAGTTGAGAGGATATATTTTATTTCCATCTCAGTGCACTAACAATTTTTGCCCTAAACGGATGTTGTTAATGTACAAACATACAAGAAGTACAAAAATTAAAACAGAGCCACAGCTGTCCTTTGGATAAATTCTATGACCTTCACTTTTGTAAAGCTACCACAAAAATACAAAATAATTTTAATACACTTTACAGAGAAGCAGAGAAAGAAAATGGTCAGCTTACACACCATATTCAGTTTTTATGGTGTTGTCTAGTGTGTAGTGTGAATTATGAGAAATTGAAGTGTTTCAATTTCAACACATCAACTGCCAAAGATGCATATATGAGAAAAGGTTATATATTCCAAACATAATCTATGAACTAAACACATTCAGTCAAACTTCCCACCAAGAAAAAAGGGCAGAATTTTACTGAAGCTCTTAGTAATGCTTCATTGACATATCTCAGCTGAGAATCTGACCAAGTATCTGCTTTGCTGGATCATTATGTTTAAATACTATTGAAGTTTTAAGTTAAAAAAAAAATCTTCAGCTACATAATCGTAACATATTTTCGTAGGTAGAGGGAATTACTTTACATACAGCTATGTAATTAAGCTACTTAATTTCACACAAAAAAGCAGGAGGTGATAATTTTTATTTATAAACAGTATGCATTTCATTCTTTGATATTTTTTCATGAAACCCTTCAACCGACATTAAAAGGACAAAGCGTTTCACAGAAGAAGTGCTAACAAAGAAAAAAGATGGTTTCCTGTGGAAACAAATGAGACAGAGATATGCATAATCATGTTTTATTTCCTTACCAACTGCAATTTCACAGGAAATTACACAGCTGAAATCCTCTAGTAATGTATTAACGCAATGTATGTCATTTCCAAAGGCCCATATAGCTGAAATCCTCTAGTAATGTATGACAATGACAATGTATGTCATTTCCAAAGGCCCATATAACCCTCACCTGCTTTAATCTTTTATCTCAAGATTAACTCCAAGAAGCGACTAGCATGCTTAGAGCCTCCAATTTTATTTAAATCAATCTGAGAGAGCAGTCAGTACAAGCAGATGGACCTCTGCCTGTACAGGAGAGCAAAACACACACTACAGCACTCACAAGTACAGCTTTCCACAACCTCCTAGGATTCCCAAAAGTTATCACAGTTACAATGTCATCAGAAAGTCCTGCTGGGAAGCATCAGTAAAAGCTAGTGATCTCATGGCAGTAGCTATTAGGTGGATCAAAAAAACCTGCTCTAGTGGTCCTAAAGACGACATACGCTGAACATTTCAAAGACCTATTAAGAACATGCCACTGTAAAATAGTTACTAAAAGCAATGCCCACGGTTAAGCGCACAGAAATAGTTGATACTTGATAAAATTCTTAAAAATAAAAAGGCTGTCTCCTTCACAGAATAGCACAAAAATGTCCATATTTCAGGCCTATTTTGAGAAATAAATTACAGACGACACCTCAGGGTATGAAAAATATTGACAGTATACACACTCTTAGAGTCTTGCAGAAATTTTTATAAAGTGATGTTTTCAACTAATCACACTTGTAAAAAATTAAACGGTGTTGGCAGAGAAATAGCTTGTAGCCTTTTCTTGTTGTCTCTCCATCTTCCCTTCAGCTATGTTCCACACGAGACTTGGGTTTGGTCCAAGTCAAGGCAAAAATCTTGAAAAGGGCATTTGACCTTGGCCCATAGGTAATACTTCAAAAACGATAATTCAAACCAGTGGATCTATTGCTATACTTCTATTTACAGAAATAAATCATGTAAGCACAGAGTCTAATGCCTGCAGTACACTGCCAAAAGGGACTAGGATAAAAAAAGCTAGGATCACCTTGGCTAATCATCTAGGAGAAAAAGGCCAGGTCACCAAACAACAGAACAAATCCATTGTGGGGTGAAATGCCAGGGGCCTTAAGTCCAACAGGACCTGCACTGTGCAAAAAGCCACAACAGCTCTCTCACTGCTGGGCAGGATCGTCACACACTGCACAGAACAAAGCTAAAAATCCATCGTATAGCCAGCAGCTCCACAAATTTTGCAGCTGCACATCCCTGCAGTTATTTTGTCGTCTTCATGGAGATTTAAGCTTGGAGAATTGCTGTGCTCTGTCAAGTTATCTTTAGCATTCAAGGATAACTCAAAATCTAGTTTAACAATGAGGTAGCTTAAAGACTTTAAAAAGTGCTATAATTCTCATTCCTCACAACAGACTTGAGCTCTTAATCATTTCACAGAGCTGTCCGAGTTGGACTGAAAATCTCAGCACCATTGTAAAAGAGGAGCTATTCTAACGCTGAAGCTGTCTGCATTAGGCTAGTTTTTGGCAGAAAAAAACGGAGGGGTGTATTCGGTTGTGATCCTCTTTTACAGGAAAAAACAATCTTAAACACCTTTGCATGTTCCTTTCACGTTTACTCGTCAAATCTAGCCAGCTAGTTGTTTTACACTGCCAGCTAGGCTCATAAAGCCAAGCACCTACTATGCAAAAACCAAAAGCAATGGCAACCTCTTCAGTAAGTATCGATACTTCTCCCTTTTCAGCCCACAGTCCATATAAAGCTTTTTGTTCAAGCATTAAACTATATATTTAAAATAATCAACTGTTAGGCCCTTTGTAGATGGATCATTTACTTTCTGAGCATATTGTGTGAAGTCTCAAAGCCACGTAAAGGAGACTAGACAACCAGTGTGGTTGCTTTTCAGGAGGGGGAGGTGTGCATGCAGACAATGCGATTGCAGATGACTGTTTTCTTCTTTTAAATCGGGTTAAAATAGTATACAATTATGTAACCGAAGATTAAGTTTGCAAAAGGTATCTACTTTTTACAGTTTTTAAATTTATGAATGCTTGACTTGGGAAGCTACTTTGAAAAAAGCTTTTGCATATAATATATTAATCGATCTCCCTTCTAAACTAAGACATACTGTACCCCAAGATATTTTTTACAGCTCAGGTAACTTTCGTTAGTAGTCGCTAACACAAGCCCACAATGGATCAGCAACAACTAAAAAACTGAAGTTTTATTAGCTCCTTTCATATCCTCAGGCACCACCAAAATATTGCCAATGAAGTAAGTATAAATAAACTGATCTTCAGAAGTCAGGGCCTTCGTTGACTTGAGATAATTGGATTACTTCATCCATTAACCACAAAAAAGGGATGCGATACACCAACAGTTGGGTCACACATTAGTAAGTTTAGAGTAAAAACGATCACAAATGCTACTGTAATTTATGGTTATTTCCCATTCTACAGATGCCAATCAAACAAACTTATTCTTATTTAACAAAAAAATTACAAGTGTTATTTTATATTGCTTGACTGTAGCAGTTTAATGTTCACATCCAGGCATACATACATGCAAATGATTTGGTAGCGTTTTGTTTAAGTTATGCCTTGTGGTTATAATAACTTCCCACCTGAACACTTAAAGTAAAAAAACACTTTTAAAAGTTCCAGTTCCTGTTCTTCCCTTGAAATCTTTGCAGTATAAACACCACAATGCCTGTAAATAAAAACCGCATTCCCCTCTGCCATACCACACAGAACAGAATAAAAACATGTCCCTACCTTTTCAGCAGCCATCAAAGAAAGATGCGTGCAAGTAAACTGCTTTTGAGAGATGAGTAGCGCACTTATTACTCATTTATCTTTCCTTAAAGAAAATTGGTGGCTTTTCTCCACCCCCTTCCTTCCTTTGGGCACCAAAATTAGACCGCAGCACGTATAGACTGGCATTCTCACAACAACGAGAAGTAACTGCACTCCAAGAAGAGTTCTAGTACTACACGAGCTTTTGCAAAATCTCTCGTTTTGTTACCAGCAACAAACAGCACTAACAATCAAAGGGAAGTTATTCGTCCCCCTAACATTAAAAAGCGAGTCTGCACAAGAGAACGTAAAAGTCGACTGACACCAAAATAGGCTCAGCGTTCAAGTCACATACAGGAAGAGAAGCGGCTTTGAGTTCTGCATCATTTCTTTTTCTGACAGTACAGATGTGAATATACTACTAACCTCAATGTCTCCAGACTTGCACATAAAACTCCACTTATATCACAAATAAATCTTTCCCAGAAACAAAACAGATTTCTATTCAGTTCTGAATGACAAAGTAATTAGTATACACAAACAGAGAAAGGTAGACAGTTCAAAAAAATTAATTTTTTTATGCATCTGCAAAAAGTAGAAAAATGATTCTACTTCACAAGTAATATAAAAATTAATAAAAAAATCATAAAAGTTAAAAGTTAAGATATTATTGTGATTGGTTGTTCCAGTTCAGCCTATTACAGAGCTAAGTGCCATGAAGTTCACAATTTCATCCAGATTATTTCCAAGTCTGGAAAAGGAGAAAGTCTACTTTGCAGGTTAGTCTTCTTTCTTGCTCCTGACTCTACCACATAAACTACATGTGAAATACAGAAGCCCTTTTTAGCGTTTTGGATGCTTGAAGAATTGCTATTTTCAGTTAAAATTAAAGTACTGCTACTCTATTCACACAGCAAAATTATAACCTCATTAAATTCCACAGATTCAAACACTTCCACTTGTGCACGTCACCTTCAGTTATGTTCTCCAACAGTACTGCTGAAGAGAAAATAACTGCTGGTGAGCACAAGGCTAAGCCCAGAAAAGAACATTTGGATGACTTGCACCTTCATTTAAGGCAAAACTTTAACTGCATTAAAGACCTGAAATAAACTGAGGATTGTAACTACCAAGAGTGAAAGATTCATAGATTCACAAACCAAGACTGAGGAGGGAACTTCAAGAAATCAGCCCACCCATCTCTAGTTCATGCTTGATTATCCTTACCATTAGGTCTTCCTTAACATTTAACCAAAAACTTCACTGCTGCATTTTAATCTCATATTTTCCCCTGTCATCCACGGACGTGAAAAATGCAGCAGTATTTTACACCAGTGAAGAACATCGTCAGGTTACAATCCTCTGCTCTTTTGACTAAACAAGCAGGGTTTGTTCAGCCTTCCCCCAGGCCTCACTGTTTTGGTCCCTGCTTTCAGTTAGGGAGCAGCAAGCACAGAGCTGTTACAGGTGAGGGGGCGCAGAGTGCAACCCCTGCAGCCAGGGCACACTCCCGCAGCGTCCCAGCAGGGCGACAGAGCCAGGCACTGCTAGCGGCATCCCTCCACAGTCCCAGACAAAGCGAGGTGCCGCGTCAGCCCCCCCAGTCCACCCAGGCAGCGCCGTCAGCAGGCGCTGGAGCTGGGGCCAGGCCCGGGGCTGGGGACAAGGCTCACACAGAGGGCCAAGGTCCACGCAGGGGACAGGGTTGGAGACAGCCCAGGGCAGAGGCCATGGATAAGGCTCTTCAAGGCAGCTAGGACCTATCATTGCGCTCAGGGCCCTGACACTAATGCATTCGCAACCTTCTTGAAAAGTCTAAAGCTGTAGGCAGCGTACCCAGCAAGGCTTGCTGTATAGAGCACAGCAGAAGTACAGCTTCCCTTTTCCTGTCCTGCAAGGGCAGCTCCTTTTTTAACTGTGGTATCATATGACCAACCCAGGTGAATTTCATCTAATATGACCCTCTGTATCCTTTTCAACGGAAAGGCTGCCCTAGTCAGCTGTTCCCCATCCCGTATCTACAAAGCTGATTATTCCCAAGTACAGTCTGTTGTTTGTGTCCCTATCAGCTGGCATTGTTTGGCCCCAAACATTTCTCCAGTTCATCCAGGGCGTTCTGAACCTCTGCCCTCTCTGCCAGGACTCACAGTCTCTCGAAAGTCATCATCGGTATTATTTGCACAGTCTGTAATAACTCCCTAGCCAGTCGCTAATTCTGGCTGCTAAAAATAATGAAATCAGCTCAGAACTGTAAGACTACGCATTATCCTTTCAACGAACGAGCCCACGGCGCCCCGGCCTGTTACTATGGAAACCGCGCCATCTTGGCAGCGTGGGGGCTGGGCGTTTGACACCGCAACCGCGGCGCTCCCCGTTGCTACGCTCCCGAGACGGGGCGCGAGCACTGCGCAAGCGTAGACTTCAGCGGCCAATAGGAAGGCGCGGCGGGGCGGGCACGCGCCGGGCTGGACGGAATCCAAGCTGAGAGCGGCGCGAGGTGCGCAGGCGCAGTGCGCCGGGCAGCGGCGGCGCTCAGGCCCTCGCGGTTTGCCGGCGGCACTGCGCAAG